CATTCATTTTTAAAGGGGAAAACTGACAGGCGAAAACACATGGAGGCTCGCGATTGGCCACAGATCAAAACGCCTTTTCATTTTCCCGTCTCGAAAACAAAGATATGATCCCCGCCGAACACGTGGCAAACATCCGTGACGCTTGGGAAACTACAACGACGTGCAGAAGCTTGAATCGATCGCCCAGACCTTCCGACCGAGTCAACACATGCCCGTCAGTAGATCTAACATACTCCCACGAGTCACAGGCTCAGGAAGCCCCCCCAACTGGTCGATCGACTGGGAATGATCCAGCTCGAGCTCTCGCCCAGTCGTTCTTCCGTAGCAGACGAGTGGACAACCAATGTCAAAGCTCGCATCTCTTCCACTCAATCGCCCTATCCTTCCGATCGACTCAGTCCTCGGCTACCGGAGGCATTCTTAATGTCCCATGCTTCGCTGGCCTAGAAGGTAGGACCAACCAATCGATCAGCTTGGAACGGCCTGGTTCGAGCCCTCTTCAGAACAAGGCTGGAGGCCTCGCCCGTTCATCCTTCCATAGCGAATGAACGGACAGTCTTCAGTCGAGCTCCATGTATCTCATCTATCTGATCGTCCCTATAACCCGACCGATCGAACCGTTTAGTTTAATCAGCTTCCCAACTCGTTCGACCCGGTTTTACAAGCGAACGCCTCGACTACAACGCTGCAGCTCACCGTTCTAGTCGGTCGGGCTTACCAAACGAGTGCATGAGGCCCGGGGTCTAGTTCCTTGTCTCTTCGGCCCGTCGCACCGACCAGGCACACTATGCAGTGATGGTACGTTCCGGATCAAAAATGGATATCGAACGACGTCCAACCAAGAGTCACCTACAACAATCAGGTTATACGCATCGACAATCGTTCGTCCACGAAGAAGGACCGAGGTCGCCTCGATCGCTACCTACTCTCTGACTTAAGAAACTCTTAACTCAGAGAGTGGGGGACAAACTGTTAGGGCCAAAAATCGTCCTTGGCCCAAATAAGAAAACGGGCCTGACAATGAAGAAGCCAAGCCCAATCCCGATCCGAGTTAGGTCCATTTGGGACAAGATACAGCCGGCCCAGACCACTCGGGTACGAGTCTCCCAATCCCGGCCCATTTCCTAGGCCCATGGGCGAATCCAGGGCCCACGGCCCTCAGAATATTTTCATATTCCTGGCAATCTCCTATTCGAGGTCACCTTCCTGTTCGGAACACTTTCCTACTGGAAGTTGCTCTCCTAATCAAAATCACCTTCCTATCCGGACACTGGTAAGACAGCTTATCACGACCCTAATTCTTCTAGGGTTTGCATCAGAGTCACATTAGGACTCCCTACTCCCACCAGGATTGGGAAACCAGATAGTCACTATATAAACAGAGGCCAGCCCTCTCACAAGGGACAGATTACAATACACCTTCACACCCGAAGCTCCTACTTGAGAGCTTCACATCACGGCCGTAGTCATAGTCTCCGACTAGACTTCTGGTAACCTCTCTACTCCCTAGCCCTCACTATATTAGCCTCTTTCAGCCTTGCTGACTTGAGCGTCGGAGTGCCTACGGCAAACATCACCCCGGTGTTTTCCGTCGCTTCACGCATGTTTCTTTACGTGTGCAAGTGCAATAGATTGCTAGTGGCCTCAACCTCACAGGATCAATCCTTCCTTCCGTAACAGTAGATTTTTACGTCTACAAATTTTACTTTCTTAAGTTGTAGATATCTAATTAAAATAGTTAAACTTTTCTTTTTTCCTTGTAAGTATGATAGAAAGTTTTAAAAAAAGTATATTGATGTTTCAAAACTAAGCTGTTAAAAAACAATTAAATAAATGTAAGTTTTAGTATTACAAATTAGGAAGGAGATAGAGAAAGAGAGAAAGAAAAGAAGAAAGAAAATTATAAATTTTTTTTTTTCACACATTGGGGGAGAAAAAAAAAATATAATAAGAGAAATAAAAAAAAAAAATTAAACTTAAGTAAACTTCTAAAAGAAAAAATATAAATAATCTAACTCAAATTTATAATGTTAGGTGTAATAAATACACCCCTATAGTCCAATTGGATGTTCGATACCCCCTATCAAATTACAATATCGGATGCTTTTCTTTGTCTTCAACCTTAAGTTGTGAAAGTGATCGATACCACCAATACCCTTCGATAGCATTACTGGGTTTCGTCAAAAATATCAAAATTCTTCGATTTACAACATCCTTAGTTAAAAATAAACCCAAACAACCAATATTAACCTCCTAATTCACATGTTTCTTACACACAAAACTGAATTAAGAATCAGTTTATAGCTTTGGTTTTCAAATTCTTAAATAGAGGAAAGAGTTATTCTAACTTTGAAAAAGATAGGTGAATGGGTTAGGAAAAGTTAGGTGAATGGGTTAGGGTTTATTTATATATGAGGGCATTTTTTTCCTTCATATTTTTGTAAAATGCCATTTTGCTATGTATGAGAGAGTTTTCAAAAAGTGCTATATTTTGACTGCACTGTTAAAATAGCGTCATTTAATATAATTTCTCCTATTAAAAAACAATTAAATACAGGTAAGTTTAAGTATTACAAATTAGGAAGGAGACAGAGAAAGATAGAAACAAAGGATAAATTTTGATATTTTATTTTACACATTGGGAGCGAAAAATTAAAAAAAAAAAAAAAAAATTAAAAGAGAATTAAAAAATTAACTTACGTAAACTTCTAAGACTGCAACCCACTTCCTTCTAGCAAACCCAACCTTTCTCTTCTCCAAATCATAAACCACTTCAAAGTTCAAACCCAAATAATCAATTTAAGGTAGAAAGCACAATGCAAAAATTTAGGGATTTCAGTTTTCATAGTACCTGATATTCTAGAGGCCGAGAGGAGATGAAGCAAGATGGCGACCGGCGAAGGAGAAGGAAGAAAACGGCGATGGCGATAGGAATTTTTTATTTCGATTTAGGGAGTAACAGCAAAGAAGGGGAGATATTTGTGATTTAGGGGTTCTAATTTCTTATTCTCAAATCCCAAATTGTGTTTTACATTATTTGACCATGGGTGGATTTATAAATTTCATATGACCTCTATTATTTTAAAAATTATCAACTTAATCCACGAGCTTGAAAAAACTTGCAAACTTTTTGAGTCGAGTTCTACCGTAATCGAACTCAACTCAAAAGCTTATTTGAGCTACTCGAACTTGACTCAAGTAATGCTACTCGGTTCAGTTTTCACCCCTATTCTTATCTGCTAGGGATAGCAATTTCCTCGAGAGAACAAAAATTTAGGGGCGAGGATAATAACTCATCCCCCAATTGATTTTGGAGTGGGAACAAAAATTTTAATCATCTCCCCACCCCATCCCATAATATAATAATAATTAAATAAATTAAATATGAAGAATCCTTAAAAAATTTATTATCTTATAACGAAGGAAAAAAAAAAAAAAAAACGTTACCTTCCTATTACTGTATAGAGTCTTTATATGTTGTGACTATTGTGTGTACTGAGTATGATGAAAATTTTATTGATAATTAATAATAAAATTAATATTTTACAATGAATGAAAACTTATATTTGATTAGCTTTATATATAGACTTTATAATTTTTTATATTAGGGGATTAGGCACCCTCAAAGATCCCATCCAAATTTGGGATTCCCAACCCGTCCCAAAATTATCCAATTTGGGAATGAGGTTAAGAAAGGGGGTGTTATTTATGTTTAGCGATGAGGATGACAAACTCTAGCCTATACGCCCCAATTGCCATCTTTATGCATTCACATCCAATATAGGTTCTTAAGTGTGAAGTTCATTATGTCTTCTTCATATATTCAAACACAAAGAAAAATAATAAAAATAAAATTAAACATATTAACAAAATATAAGACCAAAAAGAACTTAAGAAAAAATAAGTCAAAATTTAGCAATCATTTATTTTTTATATAATTATATAAACATTTGACAAACTCTCTATATCTTTTTTTCCTCTCTTTATTTTATTTTAAAAAAAAAAATGTATGAAAACACATTTAAGTTATATCATGGGATGATAAAGATGAAAGTGTCATTTTCATATTTTAGTGGACCAAAGTTTCTTTCACAAAAACTTAAGGATCCGAAGGTTGTTTCACAAAAGTGGAGCGCTTTGGAAGCGGATAGTGCCCAGAAAACTATAAGAGCGAGCTGCCCTTTGTTGACAACTCTGAATGAAGGGTTAATTTGCTTGTTTGCAAAGAGTCAACACTGAGAAGTGAGGTTATTAGTGGTCCCATTAATTAGACTTTAGGGTTTCATTAAATTAACAAAATAAAATCTGACAAAGTCAGTGGAATAGAAGCTCTGGGAATGGAATAGAAACGGGATTTTCGGATTCTGAGAAAATTAAGATCATTAATTTAATGCTAAGTGGTCAGATGGGAATTTTTCAGTTGAATATAATTTTGAGCTTGTGTATTGGAAGTTGGTTAGGGTCCACGTTTCCAAATAATAATTCAAACAAAAGACCATTAAATAATTGTATTTTTGGAAGCCTGTTTTGTCTTGATTTGTAGTGGATATAACAAAATAATTCATGGGATTAGTATGATAAATGAGAAATTAAAGACAGATTCACAATCCCCACAAGCTGCTGATTTTGTAGTTTCTTGAGATTCTTCAAATTGGATTAAACTAACCTGAAATGGGTTCATTAAGGTACAAGTAAGAAATAATAGTCTTCACTAAATTTCATTATTTACTTCATTTTCTTGGTAGTTGTTCTATTAAGAGGTTTGCCATTAGGTCTGATTGAGCCAACGCGTTCCTCGCAAAACACACACTTCTTTAAAAGTCACCAGAAAGGGCGGCTGATCCTTCGGAGGCAGACCCCTCCTCAGGAAGCATATATTGCCTTCTTATTAACTGGAGTTACTTATTACTTCACTGTTAACAACTTGGTTATCTCTTAGATTTCACTTCTCTTTCTGTGTTGTGTTTTTTAGGGTTTCTTGTTTTTTAGGGTTGCTTCAAACACTTTTAAGGCTCAAAAGTGCAACAAGTATTAGCTCTTCACTTTTGAAATATTGGGTTTGGGTTTAGTAATGGAGGAGAGAAATGATGGTGAGAAGCTGGACGAAGTCTTGCTTCCAGGGTTTAGGTTTCATCCAACTGATGAAGAACTTGTAGGGTTTTATCTCAAGAGGAAGATTCAACAACGCCCTCTCTCTATTGAGCTCATCAAGCAAATTGACATTTATAAATACGATCCATGGGATCTTCCAAGTAAGATTATATTTCAACTTATCTTTGAACGAATGGAAAATATGTCAATATCTGTTTGAACTTGGGTATATAAAAATCTTTTCATATGTTATCATAACAAGAAAAATGAGTTTTTTCGCGGCATAAACCATCCCTCCTGATACTATATATCTTAACAAACTTTAATAGAGTCTGACGAATTTGTTTTTGGTGCAATCTTTAATACGTAGAGCTGGCGACTACGGGGGAGAAAGAGTGGTACTTTTACTGCCCCAGGGACAGAAAATATAGGAACAGTGCGAGACCTAACCGAGTAACCGGAGCCGGGTTTTGGAAAGCCACCGGAACCGATCGACCCATCTACTCCTCGGAAGGCACCAAGTGCATTGGTTTGAAGAAATCACTAGTATTTTACAAAGGGAAAGCGGCCAAAGGTATTAAAACTGACTGGATGATGCATGAGTTCCGGTTACCTTCTCTTACTAACTCGGCGCCGCCTAAGAGATTCATGGACAAAAACAACATTCCTGCCAATGTAAAGTATCCTAAAACTCTTATTATTATGGATAGATTTTGTTGTTTATGTTTAGTGATAAGTCATTAAATTTCTCCTCAACTTGCAGGACTCTTGGGCGATCTGCCGGATATTCAAGAAAACAAATTCTAACGCACAAAGAGCTCTCTCTCACTCATGGGTATCTCCCTTACCTGAAACCACCACCACCACCACCACCACCACCACTACTGATTTACAGGCTAAAGGCTCATACAACAGTCAGTTCAGTTGGGAGAACATGTTACTGACAGCTAAAACCGCTTCATCTCTCCATTTTGATTACATTAACAACAATATACAACACTCATCAACTCCAACTACTACAACATTTTCTCCTTTAGATCATTTCGTCTCCTACAAGCCCATTAACCCAATGCCTAATAAACCTCCACAACTCCCCGTTTCAACTGGAGACATCTCCATTAACTACTTATTTTCACCTTTTGAAACACCTACTCCTGCTAAATGCAATATTGATGTTTCTTCAATGCTGTTAAACATGTCATCGTCCCCCATGCTGGGAGATTTTGGTAAGGCTTCAGAGTGTTTAGATTTTATAGGATCACAAGAGCAGTGTAGCGGGTTCTCAACAAGTGGTTTACCACATGAAATGCAAGTTGTGAACATGAACAATAATGGAGATGATAATATTTATGTAAAGAATCAGAATCAGAATCAGAACGTGATGCATCAAGTTGAAGATGAGTGGGAGAATAGTGTTCGATCCATTGGGTTTCCGTTCAGTTTGCCGATGAGTATGGGTGAAGGTTGGAAGCCTAGCATACTGTGGGATTCTTCACCGTGCCCAAGTGAGATGTCCACAAGTGTTTCCACCAAGTGCTACACTTAGTGAAAACACAATGTTTGATGTAGACAGCAATTTCATTTGTTCATGTTAGGAAATTAAAATATTTATTAGTTTTTACTCTAACATGTACGTTGTAGGTGGTTCAACAATTTCCAATTTAATTATAATTCAAAATCAACTGTTATTATTATTAATTTCTTCGATATTTTAAGTTGGAGACTTGAAACTCAATTATCCAAAAACAAACGTGGTGCACTTGTGTATACATGATACGACCAGTCAAGATCCATATATCATTGTCCTACTAAAGTTTTGTGTGATAGAACAAACAGTCGTGTAATTTAAGTTTCAATAATTTGTTTAGCAAGTCTCGTATTATTTAATATTTTATACACAATTTTACAAACCGTCCTCATATTATAAAAAACAGTCACGACCTTTCTTTCTCCACAAACCTTCTTTTCTCTCTCAAATCCTAAAACCCCGATTCAAAGCTATTCTCAATCCATACTTGTATATACTACCCTAAGAACTTAAAGAAACCATAAAAATTTGTATAAAATATTTTGTGATAAAGACAGATTATTCCTCATGGAAAAATTCCTTAAAAAATCTTGTGATAAGACTTTAGATCTTTTCTGTTAAGATGAACATATTTGGGTTAAATTGGTAATTTTGATCTGAATAAAAATTTAAAAATTTTAAGTCTTTAAAAACCTTTAATCACATTCAAGAAACTTTAAAAAAAAAAAAAAATTTTAAACAAGCAAAATAACTTATCATTTTCATCTTTTGAACCCGATCATCACCACAAGCCAGCACCTCCAATGCCTCAAAAAACTCTAGTGCTATACGAGGTCGTCGCCACTAAGGCCAAATCTTGTGGCCTTGTTGGGCAACTCAAAGTCGCTTTGTGACTTCAAATGTGGTCTACGGAAGTAAATACCTCGTGTCTATGATGGGCTTGCCTGGGTTAAGCTTGGGGTCAATTTTAAACATGTAAGCCTCGCCCTGGGAAAAAGAATTTTATAACTGGTCGGATTTACCCATGCTTGGGCCGAGCCTTCCTGGGATTCTTAGGCTTGGGTTTGGTTAAAAAAATCGGGATTTTTTTTTTTTGTTTCATTTTATTAGATGTATGGAGGCTAGGTGTAACTTTTTTAGGGTTCTTTGTAATTTTACTTTATTAAAGGTAGTTGGACGTATTTTTTGGAGGATTATCTAAAATTTTCACTGCATAGGAATAGGATGTAGTTTCTCAGGAATCCTTATAATTTTGTAGGGGTTATCTATAATTTTTCGAGGAGTTAATTGTAATTTTCTAAAATTTCATAACATATACTCGTCCTCGGATTGAGCCTATCAAAGCCTAGACTCGGCTAGTGTATACTGCGGGCCCAATTTTGTAGGCCCGGGTTGAATCAGTTTTTTGCAATTGTACATGCGTATTATGGTCACTGCTAAGGCCGTAAAGCTACCAACTCACATAATCATTGAAATTGGAATTGGGTATTTGTTTGACTTTTTCATTAATTTGGTTGTGGGTTTAGGGTTTGTTAATTTGAATTCAGGGATTTGTTGATTTGGTTGAAGTTTTATTTATTTATTTTTGTGTTAGATTTGGGTGTTGATGTGGGATTAGGGGTTTTTTATTTGGGTGTCAATTTGGGATTAGGTTTTGTTGATTTTAGTTTAGGATTGATAATTTAGGTATTAGATTTTCGTTTATAATTTTATTAATCTATTAACTTGTTTTATCATTTAAATTAAAAATAGGTTGTATTTAATTTTTTTTAATTTTTCTTGAAAGCAGGAGTAAATAAGGTATTTAATTGACTTAGAAGTGTCAGAAGACTGGTTTTGGTAACATTTGCTAACAACAGGGGTTGTAAGCATATTTGGACACCATAGGGGGTTAGGGGTTTTTACTTTTTACAGTCTGACTGTAGATAGGGAGTTTGGTGTGTCTGTTTAATTATTTTGAGTAATATTTTTGAAAAAGTTGAGTTGAGTTATTATTACGAGGATAGGATTTGAATTTGAAAATGTGCTTGATAAGATTATTTTTTAATCTTATATGTTTGTTAATTTAATTAAACATCACCTATAATAAAAGTTTTAAAATTAACAAAAACACCCCCACCTATCTACTAAATGCCATTAGTCAACCACCGGCTATTGGGAATATGTGGCTGGGTGAGAGTGTTTTTGTCAATTTATAAACTTTTGTTGTTGGGTGTGTTTAGTTAAATTAACAAACCTAGGGGGTTAAAAAAAATCTAAATATTTTGAGTTAAATAGAATAAGATTGGATTTTGAGAATAATGAAACAAACATGTATTTTGAATATGATAGGATAGGAATAATAAAGCAAACACATATTTTTCCTATTCCTCATTATAGCAATTGATCAGTTTATTAAAGTTGAAATATGATATTAGAGGGTATAATATTCAATAAAATATTAAATTTCAAGTTTACCCTTCAACAACAACGGAAATTTCCATTTAGACCTTTCCCTTTGATTGAATTTAGACGCATTAGGCTTAGGGTTGAAAAGTGAACAATTTTAGAAACAGGAGGGTTGTTTATGTTGAATACCCTCATACTTAGCATATAGTTGATAATTTTTGAAATAAATTTACTTAAATAGCCCTCAAGTACATTACATGTGAATTTTCTTTTACTTTTTCCTGTCAAAAACTTAATTTTTTCAATTTCAAGCTTTACAAACAAAACTCATAATTCGTTATTTTAGAGTTTATAAATGATTAATAAAGTATTTGAAGCATATCAATAAGTTATAGGGGGCGTTTGGTTGGGGTTATATGATATTATTGAGGTTATGTCATTTTATATTACTTGATTACCACGATTGGTTGTCAAGTAATATAAGATTCTAGTAATCTTCCAATATCAATAGTAGTTACTGTTGGTAATATTGGAGGTAATCTGGTAACCTTTATTTTCTTAGGTATTGTAAGATTACTAAAGTAGTCTTATTTTTATTACAACTCTATCTCTTATTATAATACCCTTAATTTTAAATTAATTTACATGAATCTGCCTTTTACTATTTCACCCCATTTAATTAACTTTTTGGACAAAATTATCGTTAAATTCAAAACAAATTGTAGCCCACCCAAGCCACCACCCCCACCCACCTGCCACCGCCGGAAGTCGCCAAAAGAAGCTGGAAATCACCGTCAGTAGCCTGCCGTCACTGGGAGGCTCCGATATGGTCGTTTTTGGCCATATTGATGGTCGAAAACGGCCATATTGGAGTTGATTTGGCCATTAACTGCTAGATCTAGATATGGCTCATAAAGGCCAGGGATCTTGTCGTTAACAACCAGATCTATTATGGCTGGAATCGATCTGGCTGTTAACGGCCATATCTCACCCAAATATGGCTGTTAAAGGCCATGGATTTGGCCGCAAATGGCCACAATAGATTTGGCCATAATTGGCTAGATCTACTCCGATATGGCATCTTCGACCATCAATATGGCCAGAAACGGCCATATTGGAGTCTCTAGGTGTCTTTCGGCTACTCATGGCGACTCCAAGTGACTTCTGATGACAGATGGCGGTGGCAGGCAGTGGGTTGGGGTGGTGGGCATGATTTTGTAAATTAAAGGTTTATGTAAGCGGGGGTGTTTTAGCTAAATCTGAAATGTTGGGGGTTAAAAATTATTCAAAAATTAATAATAAAAATAATATTATATTAATATTTAAAAAGAGGGCAATTTAGTCATTTAAATAACATACCCACCAATTTATTCCTCCCAACTAAATATATTAATATAACATATCCATCAATTTATTCCTGACAATCTTCAAAATAATCTAACTTTCCATTAATCCAACATTCTTTGAACCAAGCGTAAAGTTTAAATGCAAAAAGATTTTTTGCAAAAGAAACTTTATATATTTAAAGAAGCTTTATATAATTTTAATTATAAATATAAAGCTTACTTATCTAAATGAGGGGACTTCAGTGTCATTACTCCAAAGTCCAAACTGAGCGATGGTGATATATGGATGTGGCTAAGGGGTGTTTAAGGACTGGTGTAGTGATGAAAACAGAAGATAATTGCCGTAGCTTTTTGATGGTGAGGTAATATGCGAAGAAGTATTAAAGAAAAATAATTTAAAAAGAATAAATGAAAAAAAGGAAGTGATAAATAGTAAAATATTTTTATCAAGTAATTAAAAATAATAAAATGAAATTGATGAAGTCTATTAATGTGTCTAGGTTCATTTATGGGAAAATTTAATAAAATAAAAAAGATTTTGAGGAGATAAATCTTTATTGGGATAAGATGAATTAATAAATAAAAGAAAATTTCACTTGGATGAAAAATAAAAATAAGACTAGTTCATTTAGGGGAATAATAAATAAAATAATTAATATTTAATTAATCGAATGATTTTATCAAGAATAAGATGTAAGAAATATCTTCACCATCTATATATATATAAAGCTAAATACCTATGCGGGTTGTTCGCCATGTGACACGTTTTGAAACTCATAGAATTGTTCCATTGTGACATATAAGATTTGTGGTTGCCATGTGGTTGAATTTTATTGGTGATGTTGTAGAGAGATATTAATTTCTGAATTGGTATTCTAAATCTAAAGGTAAAAGCATACCTATTTGAGTGACACGTAGGACACTTTTTTCTTTTTATTTTATTTTTAGCTCCAAAATTGGTTTATTTTGGAGCTCTAGAATTGCTCTCTCTTGCCACGTTGGATGTGTGGTTTAATGAGATATTTTTAACTCTAAGATTCATGAATACCCATGCGGGTTGTTCGCCATGAATACCCATGCGGGTTGTTCGTCATGTGGCACATTTTGAAAGATCTAGAATTGCTCAATTTTGACACATTGGATTGACAAGCCAATCAAATTGCTCTATCTTGACACGTTAGATTGGTATTTATTGATGCATCTATAATTATTAATTAATTAAAAAAATGGGATTTGTATTAATAATAATAATAATAATAACAAGTATATAGGCGCATTACATTGGCATTCCAAAGATGTGCAGTAATAACAAGTATATAGGTGCATTG